TAAGTAAGTACTAGTTTCTTTTTTTTTAGGATTTCATCAGCAGCCTCAAATTTAACTTCCAGAATACACTTTCTATTACAAGAGTCAGGTGCATGAGGCAAAGATTTGAAGTACAGCATCACCATGTGACTGCCACATTCCTATAGAAGCTACAAATTCTTTCTAATCATGAAAAGCTTTAATACTCACAACTTTTGCGATAACCAAACAAGGATCCTTTGTCAAATGCATCATACCAAGTATATGAGATTCTTATCTAAAGGGGAACACATCAGAATAAATAATTATTCAATAAACACCAACAGCAATTACATACATGAAAAAATTATTGATCATCATGTAAAAAAAACACCATTTGTAGAAAAAAAAAAGACATGAGAAACATAATATTCAAACCTTGCTCTAAAAAATGACATACAAGAACTGAAAAAAATATTACATTTCCACTGTTCATTAATTACCTGTGATTCTGAAACAGGAAGTTTCCCCTCCATTGCCTCCAGTTGATCATAGTACCTAGTAAAAACATTGTTAGAGTTAATTACTGTTGAGACCCTTGTACGTGGTACACCTGCTGGTGAGCCACACCCTAATTTCGGGAATAATATTTAAATAAAGTTCCATAAAAAGTGAACATGTTCTTTCTGAAGCCAAACACTGGATTAATGTAATGTCCAGTCCACTCTATCAAAAATAATGCATTTTGAACTTGCTACAAAAATGCAATTTTGATATCTTTATCAAGTTCATGCCTCCTCTAATTTGCTCCTATTCCTGATGACTTTTCACTATCATTTAGCCCAGACCTCTACCAGGTCACCCTCTGATATTTCAAATAATGTCTCCTAATGGGAGAACAAACTCCTTTTCTGACAAATTCAACAAATTTGGATCTTTGATGAAACCCTCATTGTTCTGTTCTTCTGATAATCAAACACTTTCTGCTCTGAGGAAACAAGTTTTTCATTTGTAAACTAACTGGTAGAGATGGGTATGAACTTTCTATATTCAATGGGACCAACTCATCAAGATGGGATAAAGCAGCAGGGGGGACCAACTTGCAATGTGGTGGAACATCTATAAACCAATGGGACCTACACTTAGCCTTTTAACTCCCAGAAATGACTAATATACAACTTCTCCCTATAATACAAGGACCACACCGAGGGGGGGCTGGAAGGGCTTCAACCCCTCCCTCCCACTTTCTTGCAAAAATAAAAATAAATTAGACAAAAAAATGATTTAACAAAAATAACGGAGCCAAAAATAGCTCCCCCACTCAAAAACTTGCTGTGCGGTCCTTATAATATCCATAATATTATCCAGCAAACAGGTTATGAAAATACCCAAACTTATCAGATAGAGGTGGTTATCTCAATCTAACATCAAATTCTAGTACCTAATGTACAAGGAAATCAACAATCAGATCTGGAGAGTCAAAGGGCTATGCAACAACTTATCTCCAGCAAGGCATAGACAACGAGAGAACATGTATAAAGAATGATTATGATAAATATATGCTGATTATCAGAAATCCATGTTTAGCACAAAATGTAGTTTGACATATTTTGTAAACAAAAAAATTTTGGCAAATACTTTCAACTGATTTCAGTCATCAGCAGGTTAAAAGCTAAAATGTTAGTGTTTGAATGCATAAAAGAATTATGCTAGCCCTAATCATCAAAACATTTATTTTCTCTAAATAAAAAACAATTACAATGACTTATTTCACAACTGTTCCTCATGGGAGTCATCTAGAGTACTATATTTGCATTCAAACACTAACATTATACTGTTCTTCTATTTCGTGATAATTCAAAGTCGTGACATCTTGTATTTTGCCTAATACAAAAGTCAATGAGGTAACCTCGCAAAGAAATTCATTATCTCACATACTGCTAAAATGAAAACGATACAGCTGCACGCACTCGTTCATTCTCGAAAACGGTTTTCATGATTTTAACATGATGCTTAATGACGTTAGAGTATTTTTCTATTTATTTTTCATTAAAATCTGCCAAATTTGAAAGGAAAACATAACGTATAAGATAGTTGAAAGAAAAGCCTGATGAATGTATCTGACTGCATTATATTGCTGTCATGTTGCATTCAGATATATGAATGATATAGCCTTTTACATAACAGTTTTGAATTTAACGATAAAGGTAACTCATGCCGTTTAGTGGAGAAGACATGTTGTTGAATTGAACTGTACCCATGGAAATTTCGAAATTTGCATGTAAACTGGACCTAATTTCTATCAATGTTACGGTAGATAGTGTCAGCACATACAAACGGCACTTCGAGCATAGGAAACATACGAGAATTCACGCACTGTAGTCCCTTCCTGCTGATAAATCGCTCTTACCTGAGCATTGGCTCCAAAGCAGATTCATGTTTATCCAAAGTCTGCATTACAACAGTGTTTCTCAACTTCGAAAGCTCAGAAATGGCGTCTTCATTCTCTTCCGCCGTCTCAGCAGAGAATGTGTTCTTGATAAATTTTTCCAATGGCTTTTTATAATCAACACCATCGGATCGCTTCAATGGAAAAGTGATCCAGCCAGCCATTTCCCTAAAAATAACTAATTTGTCTTGTACATGAAGCTGTGTTCATTCGAATCCAACGATCCTTGGGCGAGAAGTACTGGAAGCTATTTTTGGAAGTTTACAAAATGTCGACTCCAGTCTCCCCGGTCATTAGCACGAGAACCTGACGTCATTGACATTAGGTAATAGCTATATCGGGAGAAGGAAAAAGCAAAATTACTGGTCCTTCAAAATTTTTTTATCAGTCGAAACAGTAGTTGGCATTTTGAACAAAGAATTCCTATATCTCTTTGAATTTTAGGATCGATACCAGCATGTTTTGACAGAAATAGTCAAAATTACAATGAATCAATTGTTGGCACATGTCACGACTTTGTATCGTACCCAGCCACCCCCACCTGAAAAAGCAATAACAATATATTAACTAAGAGAGCTCCACTAGACTGCACAGTGGTTTCCCTTGCAATTTTGGCCCGGAAACGGATGACAAAGATGCGAGAGGAGGGGAGAAAACGCTTAGAAATCTCTCTTATTCCTATGTCCCACCTTTTCCAAAAACGTTTACGGAATGAAAAGGACTAAGCTTGCTGAAAAACTTAAACTTGCTTTTTTAAGCTGAAAACTAATCCTCCGAAAATGCCGGCTACTAACGCAGTGGTCAGTCGTGGCCCATGCGTGAGGTATCAACTTTGGCGGGCTGCGCGCCAACTTCTCGCGCAAAATTTTAAAGGAAAGCATAAGGAACAACCTCTAGCGCATAAAATAATAAAAAAATTCCAGGAGATACTACTTAAGGAAAATATCATGCCTGAGTGTTTGACTATCGAGTAACAATTGCGGAACATACTTGGTATATTTCCTTACTGTTCCTCTGTGGCTTCTAAGTTTAAAACCATAGTTACGTTCCGTAAATCCGAAATTTACTGTTAATCAGAGCTAACCATATGTTACTTCTTCCTAGCAGTAAATTATCAAAATATATATTTTTTCTTTTATGATAATGTCACTGTGTTTATGGTGCTGCTTGTTTTGTGTCTCTGTAACAATCATCCCAAGGGCTCTCATCAATATCACTACACCAGACACTGCTGCACAGGACGGTAAGCAACCTCGTCAGGGTGTATGGATTGGCCATTAAATCTTCTCGCTCCAGCTGATTTTCAACGCATTAGTGAAATTTAAATAGACTTTTGACAGCTGAACAGTCTCGTTCCTAAAGTTGACGTCCATACTCTAAACTCACAAGGAAACGAGAAGCGGGCGTGGAAAATAACTCCGTAAGCAAGATCAAGGTGGACTGCAAATGACACAGAGCTGGTCTCTGGAAAACCAACTGTACCTACCCACCACAAAATCCTGTCCAGGAACTTCGCGTTTTCCGTAAACCGATGACCCCCTGGGACAGAAGATGATGGAGACCTTAACAGGTGTTCTGTTTGTACGCTTATGGCATCAGCTGTTCTGCATTTACTTCCTTGCATTCACGATAAGAGACCTGTTTCCGTAAATTACACGATATATGAATGAGAGAAAGGAACATATTTATATCGAGCCAGTTCTGCAGTCTTCAGAGCCGCGTAAGCAGCCAAATCGTTTGCATCAAACATAGAATTAAGCTGACTGTACAATGACTGAGACTGACTGGCCGACTCGTTACCTGACGCGTGCGATCTATCGAAAACTGACGCGAACAAAGAACAAACACGATTAAAAACAGATACCGTAACGGTTTATCCCTCTACACCAACCTTTAGTCTTAGAATTAGATCACGTTGTCTTCTATGTTGTGAAAGTCGTTATAACGCGCTTAAAATCCCTGGTGACCAGTTAAACGATCTCTTTCGCGAAAAGCACATCTGTTAAATGTTTGTCTGTTTCCTTGGATATATTTTAAGGGCTCTTGTTTCGTCACTTGATCTCACTTGAGTGGTAAGTCGACCAGCGCGCGCCAGGGTTAACACTGAGCCAGCGTGCGCCAGAGTTACGGCCAGCGTGTGCTAGGGAACTGAGCCAGCACGCGCTGAGGTTAATTCGTGCGACCAGCGTTTAACTAGGCCAGAAGTAAAAGTAAATTGTTACAGTTTCTGCTTTGATATTTTTTTTGTACTTTTCAGGCAGCTGCCTTATTGTCATACACACAAATTAATCAACTGGACAATGGCATACAACCTCGAGTTCCGTACTTTCTTTTTGATTCTGTGATCTCCCATTATTTTGAAATAAAATAAATCGTTAGGATATGATTTTCATTTCAGAGCGAAGTGCTAACGCTCGAAACGTCAGCTTTGAAACTCTTCATGGTGGCCAATTTATGTTATCAACTCAGATGATAATACCAAATTACTTTGTTATACTCTCCCACCGACGCAGCTCCATAGTTTCTTCAGAAACTTACCCCCTTTATTCATTTAGGATCAGTATCATTTTGTCACTATACTATCTACGATCGAATCAGCACGTTACAGCGCCTTAACAACCAATCAGATGGAACTGAACCGAAGACCAATCGCAGCTTTGTCAGACATGTTTCTCGCATTTGAGGCAGTTTGCTCAAACCTCACTTAATTTTAATTCATATCTAGTTACCAACTGACTCTTCTGCTATTCTTTGTTGTTCTGCGTTGTTCGTTTAATAACATCGTTAGTAATCACAATTCTATGAAACGAAACTTTCATCTCCTCCAGGGTAGAGATCGGTCATCATTTGTAGCCTAAAAGGGGGACGGGAGGGATTTTGAAGGATTTTTATTGCGTCACAATAAAATTTATTTGATCCATCCATAACTCTCTTCAATCTTCTTACGATCTTCACCCATTGATTGATTTTAGTATTATGGAAATGAATGTTAGTGTCTGAATTAAAAGGAAACTTAAAAAAATTTGGGCACAGGTTCCGCTACAGATTTACCACCGAACCTTTTAATGTGTTCTCCTTGAATTTTGCAAAATGGCTTCCATGCTGCTCGTTCGATGACAGCTGCGCTGGTCAGTTCTTAAGAGTTTTTATGTCAATGCAGCAAGCTGTTTTAATCATATGTTCGATCATTTTCATTGTCTTTGTTTTTTTTTTAGGTTTCTTATGCACTAAGTCTAAGTGTCTTCTGTTTTACTCTTGGCACCTAAACCTAAAAAGAATCTTTATCTTCATCTTCATTTCTTGTCGTCACACTTTCACAGCCACTTTCGCACGAGAAACTCGAACAGCTCGTGTCACTGCACATTTCCCAGGACGAATCTTCACTGGCTGTCTCGCTCCACCGTCCACTGTCGGACGCTTCTGTTGACTGTCCTGCGACACCCACCTCAAAAACATCATTCTCGTCACGTGACAGAAGAATCACGTTACCGTCAGGATCACGAGTCAGCCATGTGTTTTCCCCGTTTGGAGTCAGCACGAGTCGAAGTTTCTGTTTGACATATAGCACACTGCGGATGTTGAATTTAAGCGCGCTGAGCCTTGATGCGTGGGGTTGCAGACATGGCGAATACTTCAAGGATAGTTTAATTTCAAGGCCCGGTTGAGAGTAGAGGTCAAAAGAGCAGAATCCTGGTTTACTTGCACTGGTTTCACACCCTGTCAATATGCTATAAAATTCTTTCATTTTCTCAAAATTGTTCACGAAAATGTTAAACCTGAGTTGCTCGTTTCCATAATGCACCGAACAGACAGTCCACAGCGGAAGGTCTGGAGACGACCCGTAATAATCTTGGCGAGCGACAGTGCGCATATCCATAGGGTTGGCTAATTCAATCTTATGATGGAAGCCCCAAGGGGGAGACTGCAGGTAGCCTTTTGCAAATCCTGCGTTCAGCTGATACTTTGACTCCTCGCGCAAAAACAGCACAACGCTTAGTGATTGCGTGTTTAATTGTTCCTTAGCCAAATGACTCTCGTTACCTCTCCCTTTTGGGTCATCTTGTACAAACCGCGTGATAAACGAATTTTTATCGCTTTCTTCGATGTGAAGCAGCTGAAATGTGGGATCAATCCATTGGAGTAAAGGACCGTAAAGAGACTTCAACTTCGGCACCTCATCTCGAGGGAGCCTTATTTCCAAGGTGCAAATGTAAGGGTCCCTTTCGCGCCAGTGAACTCGAGGCTCAGTAACACCGTGATCCTGTCTTTCATAAGTTTGTGCCACGTTGGGTTCACCTTCTACTTCATCTTCGTCATACCAAGGCATATTTGAGACTCTTAAACTGAAAACGAGAGAGAGAGCGCAAATAAATGCTGTGATTGAACCAAGCTTATAAGTTTTAGTGCATCTGAAAGTACGTTAACTTATAGTTTATTTCTCACCTTCGAGAGAAATTTAAAAGCCCATGATCACGGTAACTTAAATAAAAACTTCAGGCCCCGACAAATTTTGATCCCAAGCTTTTCAGATACCGGCTGATAATAAAAGTTGATAAAACCTAAGCCATGCACGAAGCCGTATACTGTTACCAGTTATCAACTACTCACCAAAGTGGAGGTGGCAAGTGGCGGATATTTGCCGAGTTGTGAAGCGGCGCGGTAAATATCCACCGCTTGTCACCGAGACTGTTGTGAATAGCTGTTTTAGCACATTCGAAAACACCGACTTAATATAGCACAAGAAGATCTTATCTCGTCATTCATTCCGGCAATGATTACAATATTTTTAAGCGCAAATTCTGCGCGCGAGTTGCTCGGTGGTGGATAGCAAAAGATATTCGGAGTTTGAGTAGCCAATCAGAGTGCGCCTTCAACGTTATCCACTGTTTTACTATATGCTATCTATCTGCCAGCCTGCGTGTCTATGTATGAACATTTCAAAACCATGATACATTTAATGTGTTAAATTTTAGTCCATACGAATATTGTGTGAATATCTTTTAATTGTTTTTACGAAGACCATTTCACTTATTTTTGTTCCACAGTTTTAAATGATTAAGTAATCTTAGCCTTTTATACAGTAAGGAGAGAAGTTCTTAACAATGAGAGTATTCTTATATTCAAGAAAAATTATGGTACAAAGAAGCCGCTTTCTCGTCTTTGCGTGAAGCTTTTACGCAATTAGAAACGAAATTACTTTCCCTGAATATTCCTCTCTCGCCATCAGCTATCTGACTAAAATTTTCAGGCTCCAAAGATTCTCGCGACCACAAATTAAATCCTCCATGTGCACGTGCGTACTTTTAAGTGCGTTCAGTTGAGGGAAAAATTAAGGAAATTTCAACACGGAAAAAGAACAACAAAAAACTTCATTTTCAAGATAGTATGAATACTTCGAAGACTAGATAAACACTAGCAACGCAATGACAAAATAAACGATAGGAGACGCTAAGAGTTGCAGTACACGAAAGGAAACTGTCAAACTTGAAGAAGAAGCCAACACAAATTTACGATAATTAATACCGAGACAAAGGAGGGCTTCACAGCAAACGAAAAAGAGGAATTTGACCTCCTTGCCTACTTTCTCTTTTATCTTGCTTAAGTCCAAAACTCCCATTGTTGTGGCCGGCGTCTCAGTTCTTTGTAAACAGTAATTAAAATCAATGTTTGTCTTTCGCTATTTCACCATTAAGTAAAATATTTCCTTACGTGATTCTAGAATTAACAAAGAAACCTTCAATGGATCTTTCAAAAATAAAAACCTGGAAACAATGGATACAAGAGTTTCATCTTCAACGCAAGCAAGTCATAAACATCCTACGATTAGTGATTTTTTGAGAAATTTTGAAATGTTTAGCGCTGATGCAAGGGATAAAGCAAAATACCGTGAGATACTTGACTGAAGAACCTCTTGACATATGCACACTTACTTGAGCATTAACTTTCCTCAGTCTAAGCAAATTGGCGAGAAACTCCAAGAATCTTTCCCACGTTGGTATATAACCAACATGAACCAAAGATCTCCTTGCCCTGAAGAAGCTAATTATAACTGAACTGGTTGTCGATACAAGTAATCTCCTCAACCACTTGTCTACTGAGTACCTTCCAATTGGCACGAGTTGGAGATCGTAATTATAAGAGCAGAGCTCTCCATATCAAGTGGTGAAACAACAGTAATTCTAGAACGTTTCTTACCAATATACAACGAGATGTTGTAACGTCGCCTCGTTTCTTCAAAGTGGATTTAGTTTTCTTAACGACTCGATTAAAACCATCTCGTTTTATTTGCTACACACTTGCCGGCAGTGCAAGCTTGCACGTGTGTCAGTTACTGTACGTGAAAAATCGTACTGTGTAAACAAAACCGGGACCTATTCGCCCATCAAACAAACAGGAAGTTTCAAATCTTGAGAATTATTATTTGAACAAGGAAAAAATCGGAAGTTCCAACCCTGACTTCGCCTAATATTCGAATAATAACGAAAGCTCCTTTTCCGAGCTTTTCACGAAATATTTCCTAACATGGATGGTATTTAATTTTAAGACGTCCGTAATCGATCACTGCCAAGTTTTAATTTCCCGTTCGTGTTCGCAAAAGATAATTTTCTCTCATTAATGCTTGTCTGTACCCAGGAGAGTATTAGCTAGCTGTTATTAAAAGCTGACGAAATAGAGATAAGACGAGGTATGACACTCGAAGTCGCTCCATCTGAAGAAAGCTTAGATAACTCCGTTGAAAAAACGTGATATGCCACACTCAACCTACAGATAGTGTGACTTTCTTACTGAAAACCGAACGTAGCAGTATGTTATACAACTGCAATCTCAAAGGCACCGAGATCCTCTAATTCTTATTTAGCATTTTCAGAAGGCAGTTTTGACCCTCTGAGAGTAGATGTTGCTTACTTTACAGTCGGAAATTTTGCAAGCCAGGGCATAATCCACCAAGAATTTGCATAAGCAGCCGATAGACACTGCCTTAAAACGTGTCAATCTTCGGAACCGTTGATAACCATTAATTACAACTTAACTCCCCATAGTTCGCATTTAAAGGGTGGTTAGAGAGAGATTTTGAGAGTATACAAGACGGCCACAGGGTCTTGCCTGAGATCTTGGCCATATTTGGAGACTCGTGACACACGAGTGCGAATGTTTAATCCCAGCAGCTTAAGTAAACAACTTTTGAAATTAAGAAAAAAAAAAGGGTTAAACCGACGGCTTTACAAAGACAGAGTTTGAACACCCTCAAGTGGATTGGAACCTAAGAACTTCCGATTGACGCCCGGTAGTTTGCATCGCTGACAACTGATCGTGGACCACCGCAAGCTAGACCTCTGTACCAAGTTCATAGCTGACATGAATTCTGTATACCCCTACAACAGGTAATGTCGAAATCGTTGCGTGTATAAATACCTTTTTTATATGGATAAACGAGTGCGACTGTTCCTTCAGTGGTCGAGAATGCGGTTTCCTTGTGTCAGGTAACACATCCGCTATGAAACACAGGAATGACGCGACTCGTCATCCCCCAAGTGAACTCTCCAGATCAGTATAAATTGAGTTTAGTCCTTTTTTCGTAAACATGGTGTTTCATCGATCACTCATTAAATTTCGCGAAACAAATGAAAAAATAACGGTGGTGGAAACTTTAAGGGGGTCTGAGGTCTCAGTAGTCTCGGTTCTGCCTCACAAAGAGGAATCAGAGTTCATCACTCTTGATACTAAGTAAAAACAGTTGTTCCCCAAATTCAGGAAGGACTTACAAAACATAGTTGAAAGTGAAATACTGCTTACCCAAAACGCTTTCGACAGGAGACTCTAAACTAGGTTTATAGCAGGTTTTCAACTTGCCGTAATCGAGTTGTTATTCTGTTCATTCAATCCAAGCGTAACCATCACTGACCAAAGTCAATCCAGTTTTGGAGAGGACTTTGGCGTTTGCAGTATTGAACACTTTTTCTTGCGCTATTTTGGTAATTTGAATCTCGAATTACGGTATTGCTAAATTCTCCGAACCTGCTGGATGCCGTTTTAGTTCTAGCATTTTGGAGTGTGCTAAAGTTTATCCGCCAAGTCCTCCACCGTTTTTCAAGTGTTCTCCAGTTTCCAATTGTTTCAGAAACAGGCTGAAATCGAAAATTACCTAACAAATTCTTATAATTACCATTTCTGTGTTATCTGCTCTAAACGTAACAAACAGAGTAGTGGTTCGGCATGACATCGATTTTTGACTCGGTATTGAAGTGTTGCGGTATTTTGGCACCTTTTTTTTTTGCAATATTGCGGTATTTGCAGAATTTTTTGCGATATTGCGGTGTTCGGAACCCAATAATACCCCCCTTTTTGGAGTCAACAGTGTTGAAAATTGAGCTTGATTTCAGTTAGTCTCCCGCTGTTGGCATAGCTTCTCTTTGTGCGAGCCGTGTGCATGTTGGTCTTGTTGCAAAATGATCGAAGATGAGCTCGAATTTGTCATGAAATTCATAATTTTTGAAGTGCTTTTTCAACAGTACCTTAGAACTTTTAACAAAATTCAAATCGAAGACAATTTGGAGGCACAGAAGTCTGGTTAACCTTCAATCGCCTCATGACCCTTCGTAATAACAAAACGAAAACAAAACTTTGCCCTACTTGATTAATATAAACGTTGTAGAGAGGTTAAGAAGTTACTAAAATTAAAAAGACAGCTTTACCTCTCTGTCCTTTACCGTGTTAAATTAATCCAGCGTGTTCGCATTTTTGTTCCCTTCTGTAAAGCTTGAGTTATCGATAACATCGCTCAGGAAAGTTTGTGGCCTAATTTGAATTGTAAAACTACATTTATCGCATTGCAACTATCCAGAATGTTGAGACAATAAACAAAATTGACTGAAGTAAATGCAAAACAAACAATAATAGATATCTCGACATCAAGATAGAATTTTTAACTTCATTGTTCCTAAACCCAAAAAGGCGTCTTTGTTAATTCTTCCGATACCAAGTTACCTCTGTTACAAGGATAATTTTTGCGAGATAGTTTTCTGATTATACAAACGCGGTAGCAGCCTAAAATTTTATTCGATACCGAGGTTAAACGTTTTAATTTGCCTACTTGATAATAAATGGATTGGTTATT